CAGACACATCTCAAATGTTCTTTTCTATTATCTTTTTAATGTGTAATTTTTATTTTTTTTTGGTAACCATTTTGTTGTGGTACCTTGAAATTGTATCATCTGGGGCCTACTGCAATTATACATTTTTCATGCAGGATTTCTTTCTAGACAAAATAAGAGACTGGAGATATTCAAAATAACTTCACTCTTGGCCAGAATCAATGATACTGCAGTCAGCAGTGGCAGCAAAGTGGAATGGATGCTGTCTGCTTTCACAAATCTCACTGTTATATTCTTCCTCAAAAGGAAGATAGCCTTTTGTGGTAGGATACACTTAACAGGAAATATTAGAGGCTAATGCTCTAGCATGGTGGTTTGGCAGGCCAGGCACACCAAGATAAAACTGCTCCTTTACTGTGCTTGTGTCTTGAGAAACTTTTCTGATGATTGCAGTTAACTTTCAGCAGAATGAAGCACGTGGTACAATTGCAGAAGATAAGCAGACTCATGGTAAGGAAGTTTAAATGGAAGATTTTTTTTCTGTCAATCCATATTCATCAACTTCTCAAAAGACTGATTCATAGATATCAGTTCTCAGAGATTCTTTCAAGAGAAACGGTGCTTAAAATTATTCCATTTGTGTTGCATGCAAATGTTTGCAACTGTGTTTTGCAGGGTTTTTTTTCTGGGAGGTTCCCTACTTCACTTTTTTCAGAGTCCACCTACATGATGTCAGGGTTATTGACCTTGTGGTTGAAGTAATAATCCTCAGCTGCCACTGCCACAGTTATTGCTCTCTCATATATTTATATCACAGCTGCTGAAGCTTCAGGATATTACTGCAGTACCAATAATAAATATTAATATTTCTATAGCAATCAATTGCTCTTAATTACTTTCACCACAGGAGCCAAGGGAAAGAGGAGCGGGGCTCTGAAGAAGAGAGATCCTTATTCAGTGCCTTATTTCCAAAGGAGAGAAGCAATGCAGAGAGAACTGGAAATCTGCCAACAAAAGGAGACACCTGAAAGAGGAAAAGATAAATATTTAGCCACTGAGATCTGTTAAAGTACAAAACATCATCTATAATTCAGATTCAAAATTACTATATTTAAATATTGTCACAGCTGTACTACAAATAGGCCTCCTATGCTGGCAAATTACAAGGTAAGTGTGAGACATGTACCTAAGTGTTAGCTTATTTCCTCTCTCCTGAAAGTGGGGCTGTCATTGGAACACCTTTTTGGACTGTTACTATATTTGTACTTTTTTCATGCTATAGTTAGATCCTTATCACAACTACAAGTCTGAACTGCTGGAAAACTGGAAAAAAAGATTACTCCAGAATGACTCATCCATTTGAGAGTTTGATCCAACTTTTGTGCAAAAGGGTTGAGCATTGAGCATCCTGTGACTAGAAGAAAGGCAACAGAGAGAAGCTGCCATGGCCACTTGGCAGGGGCAGTGGGTGCACTGTACAGCACGTGATCACAGAGGCTTTGTCAGGGGCAGCCTCACACCAACCATGCTTTGAAAACTACCCAGCCTGTCCATGCCAGCATCACTGCCTGGTTCTGGGGTATGGAACCCCCTCCACAGATTTTAAAGACCTTTGTAACTGCAATAGGGCTTGTGAGTAACCAGCTGAGGGGCAATTTGACCCCATATGAATAACACAGGGAATAAGGATGGGAAGAGATGGAACTGTCGTCCTCTGGCTTCCTAAAAGGACTCAGTGACCGGTCACCTGGCTGCTCATTAGGAGTTTAGACAAAGTCATCCAGGAGTCTTGTCCTCTGACAGGAGGAAAAAATGAAATTCAACGGCACAGAAAAGCTAGCCCATCTGCAATGAACAAGGAAATGATCCTCTAGGGAGAAAGGAGGTCCAGAGAGGATTTTAAAAGTCTCCTCATTCTCATAAAGGATCGTATCATATAGTATTTACTTTTTATATAAAACAGAGCATATAGTTTTGCAATATTGACAAAGCTCCCTCTCCTTCTCTGTCTTTCATTGTTCTGATTATTGTTCTTGTTCAGCTATCACACAGCACACCCTTCCTTTTTTTACCTTCTTAGGAATTAAATAACCAGTTTTTCGTGTACATGGCGAGAGGAATAGGGAGAAACTGATTATAATGCTTCCAAAAGAGTCTTCACTGTGTCAGTAATTTCCTTATCCAGTAATGGTTCGGCAGTTCTCACAGTCTCTGCAGTCACAGGAAACATAATTTACATTGTATCACCACACTGGCAGTGTGGGATGTATCACAGAACATCTTTGCTCCAGGTCATAAAAGAGAGGTCTCTAGGAATGTCCTATGAAGGTGTGTACACAGAATTAAAGCTGTTCCCAAAGACTGTGTTTCGTGAGAGCCTGAAGATGTTTGTATGTGGAGCTTTGACTATCAGTGGAGATAAAGGGCATCTGTGGAAAAGTCTAGGGTTTTAAAGCCAATGTTTGTCCACCAGAGAGAAAAAGTCTGATGAGGGCTGAAAAAAGCACCAGGAATGTGCTGAAAGTTCTTAGGAGGTACAGAAATGTTTCAGTTTGTGTTCTGGACACAATGTAGGGTTTAAGTGAAAGGCAAGATTGCTTTTATAAGCATTGCAGTGTAGAGAGGTGGGTAAATTCTGAGCTGGCTGGGAAAGAAAACCTAGTGTGGTATTTATCTGAGATTGGCAATCATATAAAGGTGAAATATCACCATGGAGAGAGCTTTTGCTTCTCTATCATAATCTTTAAGAATCTTTCAATCATTGTGGATGGTTCAGATGATAGTCCTTGCTCAGTCTTTACGAGGTAAGAAATACCAGTGAGAATACTTGAATGTTGAATGGGGGGTAGGGGAATATGGAGGCCTCCCACAGGAGGCCGTGAAAATGAAAAAGAAATGGAGATATTGTCTCTCACCTATATGTCAAGATAAAGTTTCCGAAAACTACAGCTTCTTTACAGCACTTTGGTAGACAAATGCTGGAGAGCCCAACTTTAAGGTACACATTGACTTGAGCTTGCTGGACAGCACAGCACTGGCGTCCTTGCCCCAGGGCCAGGCTGATGGCTGGGTGGGTTTGCCATGTCTGCAGAAGTCCCAGCATCCTTTGCATTGCTGTGCTCCTCCTGGCTGGCGCTTTGTCAGCTCAACCCAAAAATTCTGTTTGATTATCACCAAGTGTTTGGTTATTTAAAACAAGCTGTCAGTCTGGCAGACTACAAATATAGTGTATAATTAAATGTATCCCGTCCTCTATTTCCAGAACACCGTTTCAATAACGTCAAGCTATGACAATCTAGAGAAAGGCAGTGGGAAACAGGAGGAGTCAGACATGTGGGATGTTTCTGCATCTCCAACATGTTAATTAATTTGGGGGATTACAGCCTTGCACCCCAGGCTGCCACAATGCAACACCCATCCCAAAAAAAGGGGCAATGACAGTGGGGCTGAATAAAAAGGAAATGTTGAGGTTTGTGTGGGAGCAGGTGGAGAGTAGGATGAAAGAGTGCAGGCTTCTCACTTTTCTTTCTGTGGGGTCTGTTTTTCTTTCTGATGCTAATGGTGTCAGGACTTCATTCCTCCTCTTTGTAATGGCAGTGTAAACATGGAAGCAGTCTTCCTTGGGGAAGCTGGAGGATCACATCTATTCCTCACAACACATCTCAGTGGGGTATGTGCCCCTGCTTACATGGTACAACATCCATCCCATGGCAGGGTGGTCTTCCCTTCCCCTCAATCCCACAGATCCCATCAGCAGGACACCTGGTAGAGGTCAAGTGGTTGTGGGCTTCACCTGCCTGTGAATACTCTCTGAAAATCACCATCCTGCTGGAGCTGCCGGCAAACCTGGGAATGCAGCCTGGGCTCCCTGGGGTAAAAAATCCTGTCCAAAAGCTGGGACAAGCCAAATTTTTTCTTTGCTCCCTTTAAAAGCTGAGTTTCACTGTTTGCTGACATGGAGTCCACACGTACCACAAAGGAATGTCAGAGGGAGATATAGCAGTAAGGAAAACACAGCAGCATCCTGACCACATTGTAGGAAACCAGCTTTTTATAATCTCCTGAGTTGCCACCAGTTCAAATGGTAGATATTCAGCTACGACTCTAGTCCCTGGAAGAAGTGGTACCTGGATCTGTCCTCAGATTCCCCCACCTTCCCCTCTGTAATTACACCACCTTTATTTGTGCTAGGTAATTGATGTTCACTGAAGTTAACTCAGCCTTTCCCTGTTCAGAGAGACTGGGTTGTTAACATATCCTCCTTGGGGCTATTTGTTAGTCAGCTTTTTGAAAGGTATCTATTCATGGAGACAGTGGTCTACAGCACCCATGAAAAGAGTCTTTGACACAAAATAAAAGCCTTCTCTGCCCCTTCCCTGTCCCTCTGCCCTTATTTCATCCTTCTGTCCAGTCCTACTACCTTATCAAACTGGAATTCTTGGGCAGTTATGGTGGCTACCATTGAGTCACTTGAAGGGGTGGGTGCAAAAACATTTAAGGCAAACAAAGCTTCTCTCCCAATTGCTCTTGGCTGCAATTATCACTGAGCAAGGTTTTCCATCTGGGTCTTTTGCATATTCGGATTATGTATCTGGCTGGGTATTTCTGTGTAGCCTCTCACTTGTGTGTGCCTGTTCCTAATACCTCTTGTTTAGCTCTTTGACCTGTCACCCTGCCTGGCTCATAAAAGTGCAGAAGCCAGACAATTTGTCTTCAAGAGTCAGCTGTGGGAATTGCACTAAAATGGAAAGTAGTGATTCGAGCCTCTGTTCCAGCTAAGCTCCAGTTTGCAGCTCCAGGATGTTCCAATGTTACATCTGCACTCCCTGCTACAAGTGGTCTTTGTATTTGCAAACTTTCTTTTTTTTCAACTGGGTGTGGGGATTTGTCTCCCCTAGAAAAACTGTAAATTCGGCTTTTCTTTTCCAAACACAGCAATGTTCTGCCTCCCTGCTGCAGAGCAACAATCCTGACTTTCAACCACTTCCAAGCAGGACTCCGATCAGAGAGCAGCAATACCTACCTTGCAGGGCTAAGAGGTATTGAAGTGACACAACAGCTTTACACTGGCCTTCTGAGGAGGGAACCTATAGAGGGGATAATAACACCAAAAATGATGTTAGATAAGAATGCATGGAGGCTTTTTTTCCTGATTGTGTGCTTGAGTCGCTTATGGAAGAAAAACTACAAAGTCATACAGGACTTCCAAAAATGAAGATTAGACAGCATCAGTGAGCCACGCAGCAGTCTCCTTTGTATGTCTGATATGATTAAATACTTATTTACAGCTTTTTTTTTTTTTAACCATCATTGCTTTGGACTCCCTCCACCCTATTTAATATATTATTATTACATTATATACTTTATTAAGCCTTGACAGCTTTTGAGTTTTATTGCACCTCTATATCTTTGCCTCTCCTGAGCACCTTAATTGCATCAGGTGCTTTGAACATATCTGTTATTGTTGCATAGCAGAGGAGTGACATCTCTGGATATTTATGAAGTCTCTTTGGATAAATGATTTGGAAGCAACACATGGCTTTAAAAATTATATGTTGTACTTTCTTTTCAAAACTGCATGTCTAATGTGGGTAAACAGTTACTGCAGGTAAGAGAAACCAATATAAGGAAGAGAAAAAACCAGCTCAGTTCACCATTTAGTGCAGCCTTTTGGGCTTTTATAAAGTGCCTACTACACCAGGAAACATTTGAAGCAATTTTACAGATCTTTTGAGCCCATCACCCCTCCCTGTCTCACCTTCAAATGTTCTTCTCTGATGAAGAAACCAATTTTTTTTCTTCTTTGCTTGTCTCGCTCTCTCCAATTACCAGTGCAGGGGCCAAGACAAAAGGAGAATTATTCCTGCTCAGCAAGAGAATCTTCTTACTCTGAATGAGCTAAGGACACAAATGGTCTAGCTGAAGAGGGTACAAAATCTTTTTCAGCACTACTAAAAGAAAAACAACATGTGAGCAAGGAGTTGATTCAACATAATTTCATTTGGTTTTCCTTTCCCAGCTTTGCAACCTGTTTTGCCTTTTCTTGCAGAGCTATTTAGTTTCCTTCCAAAATGCAACATCTTCAGAAACCCCTAAGCATCTTAACAGGTTACATCCAACTGAAACTCAGGGGAGCTGACACTCCTGAGTGTCTGTGGTACTTCTGAAAGGTTTAACAAGCAGAAGCTAGGAAAACCCACCACTTGACTGGGGAAATTTTGAATTTTTCCCGTATGTCAATGGCTCTTGCAGTTGGGAATACAACACTTCACATGCAGTCTCAGAAGTGCCAGACAGAATTGAATAATCCCTTCCCTCAACCTGCTGACCACCCTTTTACTAAAACATCCCTGTACCTGGTTGGCTGCTTTTACTACAAAGACACAGGGCTGAGTCATGTTCCATTCTTGTTGACCAGGACCTCCCAGTCTTTTTGTGCAAAGCTGCTTTCCAGCCAGTCAGTCCCTGGTCTGCACTGTTGCATGGCGTCATTCCGCCCCTGATGGGGGACTTGGCATTTGCCTCTCCAGAACTTCATGGTTCTGTCAGTCCATTTTTACAGCCTGTCCAGGTCCCTCAGAATAGCATTCATACCCTCTGGCATGACAGCTGCTCCCCCTGGTTTGGTATCATCTGCAGCCTTGCCAGGAGTGAGCTCTATCTCATCACGCTTGTTGCTAACAATCATAATAAATTATATTCTCCCAGTATTAGTTCCTGAGGGATGCCACTAGTAAGAGTCTGTCAGCTGGCCTTGTTATTGTGGATTGCCAGTGGTGGAGCCCAGCCAGTTTTCCACCCTCTCACCAACCATTTACCCAGTCCATAGTTCTCCAGTTTGATCATGGAAAATCCTTAGCCTCTTTGGTCCCCTATTCCAGTGCTTAACTACTCTCACAGTAAAGATTGTTTTCCTTATATCCAGTCAGATTTATTTCTGCTGAGACTTTTGATCATTATTTTTTTGGTTTCTCTGTGCACCTCAGAGATGGGCTCCATCTTCCCTATAAATCCACTTTCAGCTGTAGCAGACAGAAATTAAATCCCTTTCCACCATTCCTTCTCTAGCATGAAGAAATACAGATACATACATCTTTTCTTACATGGTATGTTCTGCAGCCATCTAGCTGTCTTCATAACACTCTGCTAAACTTTCTCTAGATTTTACTCTCTCTCCTGCAAGAGGGAATCCAGAACTGGACTCAGTGCTCTAGATGCAGGTCCAGGACTGCCAAGAAAGAGAAGAGTGAATGCTTTCCTCAACCTCCTGGCTATGCTCTATGCAGTCACTACCCTCAAAGCAGAAGAGAAAATGAGAAGGCTCTGCAGGAGATGGGGATTGTGATATGTCCTGGAATCCCAGTCTCCCCATTACTTCATTTGGAGAGCTGTCTGATATGTGCCATAGCTTTCATTTGGACAATATGTGTGTTTTTCACTTCTACAGAAACCAGGGCACAGAGGTAAGGATGTGTGCATGTCCCCAGTCTTGCTTCTGTGTGGTATTCAGAGGCACCTGGGGCTGGATGCTCTAAAAGAGTTCCTGGGTCCTGCAGGCTATGCTATAGTCTAGAAGACTGCTCAGACTGGAAGGTAGCAATCCCTACCCTGTATAAATAGTTTAGGAGTATGGCTGAGGAAACAGGGCTTGGAGCCTTGTTTTGACATGTGCAGCCCATGCTTGTGGGAGTTATATGGTAGTTGTAAATTTGAATCGGCTGTGTATGACAAATCTTATCTGTATATTGTGATTTTGCTTGTGAACAGAACAGAACAGCCCCAGTGGGACCCAGATTAGATTTGTACGGGAAGCACAGTCAAAACCAGGCATTTTTCCTTTGGGAAAATATGTGTGCTTTGAGCAGACATCTGTGGGAAAGACAAACAAGTAGAATTGTGATGCATTGGGTGCAAAGATAAGAGCTAATTAATTGCACTGGTTTTGCCTGGATAGAGTTAATTTCCTAGTAGCTTGTGTGGTTCTGGTTTTGGGATTTGTGATGAAAATGGTATTGATAACACACCAATGCTTTAGCTACTGCTGAACAGTGCTTACACAGCATCAAGGCCATTTCTACTTCTCAGACAGCCCTGCCAGTGAGGACTCCGGGGGTGCACAAGAAGGAGGGAGGGTAAACAGCTGGGACAGCAACTGAAGAAAAAGGAAATTTGATAACATATGGCATTGTGCTCAGCAATAAAAGCTGGTGGAAAAAGAAGAAAAGGGGAATGTTTTGAGTGATAGTAGGGCCAGAAGGTGGACTTTGATGATCCTTATGGGTCCCTTCCAACTTGGGATCTTCTATGATTCTATGATTCTATGCTTTGATTTCCCAAGTCACTGCTACATGTGATGGAGCCCTGCTTTCCTGGGGATGGCTTAGCACCTGCCTGCTGATGGGAAGCAGTGAACAAATCCCAAAAAGCAAATTTTGCTTTGCTTGCAGCTTTTGCTTTAGCTATTAAACTGTCTTTATGTCAACCCACGAGTTTTCACACTCTTACTCTTCCAATTCTTCTCCCCATCCCACTCAGAGGATGAGTGGGGCTGTGGGGCTTCGTTGCCTCCTGAGGTTAAAACACAGCATATATATTTGTGATCAGTTCCATGGACAGCATGTTAAAGACCAGTGCAAGACAACTGTGAGATTAGCTCAGTTGTTTTGACCATGGTGCTAATAACACCAAGATTGTGGGTCTGATTCCTTTATGGGTCATTCACTTAAGAGTTGGACTCGATGATCCTTGTGGGTCCCTTCCAACTCAGAATATTCTGTGAAAAGATACTCAGTCTTTTTTGTTCCCTGAATTAAGTCATCTGGACTTCACTTTTCAGTCTTTGGCATAATTCTAGGAAACTTTTCTTTTAAAAGGACTAAGTCAATCGCTGTAAAAAGAGGGCTGCCACTCAGCTTGCATATTGCTGAAGCAAAGCATGAAAAACAAAAGCTGAGCTCTAACAATAAATGTTAGCCCAGAAACGGTGATGTTTCTTCAGTCATTTATTGAGTAGTCACTTCAAGGTACTGCTCATGCCTTGTTGTTACTTTTAGATTGGTATTCATGCATATTTTTTATAAACAGAATTAAGATGAGGATTTTTCTGTGGTTTTGGTGGTTTTTTTCAGCTTTCTTCCTTTTGTTTTTCCTTATGTATTCTATGTAATCCCACACTGGTATCTTAATAAAATATTCTTACCTCTCATATAGAAGATTTATCATTGTTTTTAATTACGAAATCATCAGCCAGAATTTGACAGGTCATTTTCAGCCTCATTACAAATGTGTTCGTGATTAAATTTCAGGTATATTCAATATCCTGTAAATCAGGGAAGACTGTTTTCTCTTTTCTACTATTCCATAGCAAACATGACAGATATGATGTCTGCCAATAGCATGTGCTTAGCATAATATACAATAACGTTAATGGGGAGTTGAAAATTGCATAAACCTGCCTCCCTGAATTCTGTAGCTTCCTCACCTGGACAACTGTTAGGAAAGTGTTGTCTGGCCCATCAAGAAGTTTTCTTCTTACATAGAAAGAAAAATAAAAGAAGACTGGATGTCCCTAGTCTGTGGTCTTCTCGGGAATGGGCCTTAAGAGTTGGACAGAAGAAAGAAGAAGAAAAAGTAATAGAAATCAAAGCTGAGCAGAGAAACTTAGTATTGCATGCCATGTGATGCAAGTGTCAGTGTAGAAGCAAAATAGATTAAAGAGGTGTGTGTGGTTGGGGGTGTTAGAGACAAAAAGCAAGATAAAGGGAATATCTGGAGATGGTAATAAGTGCTCAGTTTTGCATGCCAACAAAAATGAAATTAGGTATCCTGAAAGTAAAAAACGAAAATAAAGACCTGATGGCAGGAAGGATAAAACTTACTAATAAGCTCACAGAAAATGCCTAAACTCCCTGCCAAACAGGGCTTAAACGGAAAAAAAAAAACAAAACCAAAAAACACCAAAACCCACAAAACCACTTCCTTCTCTTTTGGAAGATGCATCTTCTCTCCACTAAGCTGGGTGTACTTCAGTAGTCCGATATTCTCACACATAATGGCTATGGCTGGTTACTTCCCGCAGAACATTTTCATGCTGACATCTCCTCTTTCTCCTTCCTTAATAAATCAAATTTCAGTTAGACTGACTAGGTGACATGGGACTTGTCTTAAAGTAGTTGGAAGATGCCCTGCACTCTGGTTGTCACTAGAAAGAAACTTTTGTTGCTGGGTCTTCTCCTATGTCACTAATTGGCTGATGATGTCCACGAAAGTGCCTAAAAGGCAAGGACAAGTACCAAGTAGAAAGTTTGCAAATGACAGTAACTACCATAAACAGCTCTTCTTCACTCTAGATTTTAATCTATTTTAGGTCTTATAAAACAATATAAGGTATCTTGGAACATTTCTGGTGCTCACTCTAATAATTCTCTTGGTAAGGTCTGGTCTGGAGTGACTTCCGAAATAACAATAGTCTACTTAACTGCATTCAGGTGATGCTGCAATGTGTTTACCACCTCCAGGCTAATATTCTCCACCCCTTCTACAGAGCCTAGTAAAATTTCTAAGTGGTGAATATTTTAAATAAGGTTGAACAACAGTGGCATTGATGTTAGTTTTGCTGATGGCCAGCAAAAAGCAGTGTACAAGCTGAAAAACACAGAATTGATTTCACATTTGTTCAGAGCAGCACCACATAAAATTGCAGTGGATTGGAAACAAAAGGAAGTTCTATGTTAGAAGAAAGAAGCTGAATGAATGTTTGGAAGTGATGATAATGGAAAAGTTAACTGGTGTCAGAAGTGATCACACAGGACGCTTCTGTGCACTGTAGCTGCCTTTCTACAACTTTAGCAAAATTCACCAATATCCATTGCCTGATGCCCCCAGCTGCCACAGCATTTTTCCACACTTTTGCAAATGCTGGTTAATGTAACATTGTCCTGCTCTGCTGCTTAAAGGACATATATCAAAAAGATGGCTTAATTTCCAAAAGGCTCTGACGTATAATATGGAAATAGTGCCACATGTAAGCTCACTACTAATACTATGTCCAGTACATTTTGTTTGAACATGCTTTAATCTGACAGCTTTTATTCCTGATCTGTGCTACAGTTATGTTTTCCCTTTGATCAAAATGAAAGTAATGAGAAAGGAAAAGCACAGACTCAGTACAAAAATTAATTCATATTTTTAGTGGGACACATGATCTTAAAATATTCTGTGCTGAACCAGAATTTTAACCCACACTGCAAATAGGGTTAAATTGGTAGGGTTACATTCAATTTTTCACACTACTCCATCTCTTGCCTTCCTGACTCATTACCCTCCTCTAATTTCCCCAGCAAGATAAAATGGAATACCAGAGGTAGGTAAACATCTTAGTTTTCAAATGACAGAAACTGAACTGTGCACATGAAAGTCTTATCAACAAAGCTGAGCAGAAATTTTGTGATCCAACATTTTCTCATTAGCAAATACAGATTTGAATGTCGTCTAATGGGACAGAGGGAAAGACAGGGGAAAAAAGGCATTTCCATAAGGTAAAAATAATCTATTTAAAATACGTAAAGAGTGACATTCCAATCCTTCATTTTGAAGCAACTTTTAATTTGTTTATTATTTTGGTTAGACATTTAAGCTGTGATAATAATAAAACAGCTCTACACCATTAAATTATTATACTTTAAACATTGATTATAAGCTTGCCACATTCAAATTTAAATCATATTGTCACGGAATGGTTTAGGTTCGAAGGAACCTCAAAGATCATCTCATTGCAACTCCCATGCCATGGGCAGGGACACCTAGCACTAGACCAGGTTTCTCAAAGCCTTGTCCAACCTGCCCTTGAACATTTCCAGGGACGGGACATCCACAACTTCTCTGGGCAACCTTTTTCAGTACCTCACTAATCTCACAGTGAGTAATTTTTACTCCTTGTCCTATCTCCTCTCCAGCTCTCCTCTAGGCCTCCTTTATGTACTGAAAGGTGCTATAAGGTCTTGCTGGAGCCTTCTCTTCTCCAGGCTGAACAGACTCAACTCTCTAAGCCTGTCTTCACATGAGAGGTGCTCCAGCCAGCTGATCAACTTAATGGCCTCCCCTGGACTCGTTCCAAAAGGTCCACATCCTTCTTATGTTGGGAGCCTCAGACCTGGACATAATATTCCAGGTGGGTTCTCACAAGAGCAGAGCAGAGCAGAGGGGGACAATAGGCCAGATGCTGAATATTTTTAAATATTCAGCATCAAAAAGGAAACCTTCTGAAGATATCAAGAAAAGCTTTGACTAAACAAAAACAAAAGCCCTGGATTTGTTTTATATAGCACTTCAAATGTTGTTTGGTTTCCTTAATTTTAAACAAACAAAAATACCCCACCAAAAATAATATGAAATATTTTGTGGCACGTTCAATTTCATTCTTGCCTGCCATTTTTTATCAGTGAAATTTACCAACAGAGCTTCTTGAAACAAAATAAAGTCATTGGAATTACTGGTGGATTAAACAGGATTTACTTTTCCTTACTTGCACAAATACCATGTGATCTCCACGAAAACTTTAATCTTAAGACTTGAAACTTTGATGCTTGAAATAATCTGAATTGTGTAAGATGGAGCTAATTCTTTCAAATTTTATTTCTATTAGAAAATTATCTGACTATGGAAATTAGATAAAATGGCAGGCAGTAGACCCTGATTGGCTGCAGTCAGAAATGTGACCTCTTTGAGGAGGGGTAGTGGGTCACTTTTATCTCAAGTCTTTTGCTTTCTTGAAACCCTGGTGTCATTTTTGGGGTACTGTGCAGCCTCCATGGCGCAGAATGTACATTGCTGCTGGCCTGGGTGCTGAGGACATGGTTTGCAAGCACCAGCTGCTGCACAGCTGGCCAGACAGCTCCTCCTACAGACCTTCCTTAGCTCAGGGTGAATTTGGGAGCACTGAGGGTGATGGTAAGGAAGAAGGCAGGGAGAATGCAACTTCCTACCCGGAGCTGTCCTAGGTTAATATAATTAGCTGGATCTTAACTAAGCCTGAGGCTGAGTTGCACTAATTTGATGCTAAAGTGCTGTACATCCGAGGTCAGGATGTGCAAAGATGGTAGAAAGCAGATCTCAAAATGTAAACTGCAGTCTGTAGTACTGTAACAGATAAAATAAAACATCACATTAGGCTCCCACACAAAGCACTCTGTTTTGGACCAGGTTGATTGAATTGAATTAAACTAAACTAAACTGTGATTTGAAAACAATTCATGCTTTCATGCACTGTGATTTCCCTCTTAAAGAAAAAAGAAATTAATCTATATTTTGAGAACATAGTGTGGGCTTTGCTGAGATAATTCTGTGCACAGACTGCACTCTGCATTTTTACAAATCATTAATGGGAATTCAGAGGCCTTAGAGTGTTCTGTATTGAACTCCATCTGACATTAGCACTTGGACAAAATCTTTTGAACTCTCCCAGCACCAAGGGAGACCTCGGTCTCAAAGAGGCCTGCGCGCATGGAATCTGAAAGAGTAATATCTTTAACCTTAGGATACCAGAGATGGCTCTAACAGCACTGGTGTTCGTGCTATGCTCAGACCTTAAATCACCCTATTCAGCTGATATGCAAGGCCAGATTCTTTAGTGTCTTCTCGCTGCTTTGAGCTGTTACTGTAAGGCAACAAGCCATAAGCTGAAGTTTTCTGGCTGGTTAAACCAAATTTATAGTTGTTTTTCCACTGCCAGAAAGACACAGATATCTGAATCATTATTTACAAATACTGAGAGAAGAGTATCACGACATTATCAGCCTTTAACGATAACGGAACTGGTAAGCTCTCATAAGCATGTTCCTAAGGGACATACAGAAATAAAGAGGTTCAGATCCAGTAAGTACCCCTCTATGGACTGGGGATCTTGTGCACATAAAGTATCTGGCAAGGGTATGGTGCCCTGATATCGTGTTTTGTTCACTGCAATGACTGTAACCTGGAGTTGGTGGGTGGGAGTAAAACATTTAGCTCTTCCTTATCTTCATGGCATATTCTAAGGGAAGCAGCTCTGCATATTTAGAGCTATCCTGCATGTTAAAAAACTTTTAACCAAGATCCCAAATCAATAGCAGCTCTCAGAGATATTTTTCTTAGGCAAGTAACTGAATTTTGTCCAAAATATGAGCAACACCAGGGATTGTCCATAGGGCTAGGTTATACCTGTCAAATTCCTTTTACTCTGATAGAGAATGCACTTATCTTGTTCTTCTGTTTACCTCCTTCTTTGAGAGAAGTCACGTTCCTGGTCTTTAGATTCTATTTGAAACTGTAGATGAGGTCATAATGTTGGGCCATAAGTCTTAGTAATGATTTTTAGCCAAGCACTTCCATCTCTCACCATGAAAGACACTCTCTTGCAGAACTGCTGGGCTTTTGCCCACTATGACATACTTCAAATTCTGGGGAAAATCTGCAGGATAAGAATACATTTGAGAGACTGGCACTTTAATCAGCTAACTGAGCCAGACTCTGTTGTGCCTGGCATTTCCTTGAGGCTGTCAAAAGGACTGGTTGCACTTTTCTCCCCTTGCCCTTGGAACAAGGGTCACACCATGCTGTGCTTTTACAATCTTGGGGAGCTTTGGTAGTCTATTGCAAATGAAATAAAAGTTCAGCAAGTTAAAAGTATCTCAAATGCAACATTCATTGCCTCTATTATATGGTTTCAGAGGTGGCAGAAGATGATGAAAGCTGATCTCTATGTGAGGCTCTTCCATGCATATGGAATCTCTTGCTGGGGAGACTCATCAGCCTTTGAGATCTGGAATGCTGCAAAGTTCTTCAGAGTGTCCTATCTGTTAGCATTGCCCACTAAAATTCTACATTTTTGTAGTTTTATAGTTTGTTCTTGCATTATTTTTCCTGGTGCACAGCTTTAAGCATATACTCCAACCCTTTGATTTCAAGAAAACAGAAATGGCCAAAAATGGCCAAGAGGCACAACGGAGTCTCCTGCTCCTCTGAGCACAAAAATAAATCAATAAATGCATCCTGAGACAGATGTGTCTTCCCAGCGTGTCACAAGTAAGTCTTCTGCTTCGTTTGTAGGACCTGCCTGTAAGTTTTGAGATGAAGTCTCTGGTGTTTGTATGATGGCTCAATTATCTTTTTTATCTGATGCACTTTCAAGAAACATTTTACATGTGTTTGAAAACCACTGTTATAGTTCTCTCCCTCTGAAATAAGACATCAACTTGTGGTACCAATAGGACTCTGTGGGAAGCAAGAATCATCAAATACCCATGCTTGTAACTTATGTCTACACTGACAATGTCTACACCATGAATGACCCAGTGGATATTTTTCATCTGCAGCATTTGCTTCAGTCCATGCAGCCAATCATGCCAAGTCTTATTATGAACATGGCATGTAATGCTCTCACAGGTATTGCTAGTTTCCCTTTGCAAAGCAGGGCTAGTAGGCATCCCTAATTGTATCTTATTGACAGAAAAGGCCCCCCCGGGAGATCAGAGCCAATTACCAAGCCCAGTGTAGCCCTGCTTGTTTTGGAAAAACAGAGAGGGGCGACAAAAAAG